GACGGGCAGGGCAGAGAGAGATTTTGGTAGCCCTGCTGTTCCATTAGTTCCTGGTCGAAGGAACTAATGGAACAGCAGTTCCAAGGTTTTCCATTAGGTCATAGTACCTCGTACCAGGTACTGTTTTAGTACCTGCTCGGCCGGGGTTCCAAGCTAAAATGTGACGTGGTCAGACTGCACACCACCGATTGGCCAGTAAGGAGCGTCGCTCGTTTACGACAAGCTGTGTCAGAGCGATCAGCAGGTATATTCTTGGAGGTCCTATATTGTAATGGCAAACCAGCCAATCCCAGTAGGTACTAATGGAAAAGGGGATTTAGTGGGACGTTGACCCATTATTGATCATGTGACTCATCACAGCAGCCAAGGTGTGAAAAAGTGCGTGGGTCCTTATAGGGCTTTGGAGTTGACGTCACCCCGCAATGTATTGTGGGAGGGCGGCGCCATTTTCCGGGTCCATAAATCAAAACAATTTTCAAGCCGCCAAACTGTGAGTACGTCGTCATTCAAACCAAGGTAAGTCAGCTGGAGTGCATCGAGTGTAATAGCTATGGTTCACCCCCTACCACAGTTGATGTTATACATTTATCAATGAACTGCTAAAATCTCGTTGTCATATTATGTGCCCATAATTGTAAAGTTGATGCAAACTCCCACATTGATAATCGGGCAAAATACTACATCCATTTCATAGGCAGGCTTCCCTACAGTTGTGCGAAAGAATTAGCAAATCGTTACATAACACGTATGTCTGCAAAGTCACTCCATTCGATGTTTGTTCACAATTTCTATAACCTCCGAGACCACCAACAATAATATTATTAAGCTATAAAGAGTGATATGAATATATATAGAACTTACCGGAATGAAAATGTCCGGTAAGTTAAGTGATATCTGGACATGGAAGCGAACTGGATATCAGCTCATCTCACGGCTGCTATCCAGGCTAGACGCCTTCGTTTGGTAAGGTCCGCCATATGAGCTGCCTCATGTTGCTTCCAGGTTGAAAGAATAAGAAGACAAACCCTTTTTAAGCTTATTCCTGTGCCGGTTGTGCGATCGAACATTGCAGCCGACCACACAGCAAGTACGAACCATGGCTGTTGTGTGTGCTTGCGCTTTGTTTGGACCTGGAAAATGGCGCATCAGGCCAAAATCCTTTCCACGCCCACCCTGTGACATCACGCTCCAAAGCCCTATCAGCAGAGGTTTCGGGTGAAACCATTGTGAGATCTTGCCCCACCCTATCATGTGACTTATTAAGATCACCTGGTGCAAGACGTGAGTGGGTGTTAAGGTGCCTGGGAAAGATCTCTAAGGCTACGTCCACACTAATGCGTTTTTGTTTGAAAACGCATCGTTTTGGCCTCTCGTCCACACCGACGGCGTTTTCCCCAAAGAAAAACGCAGCATTTTGAAAACGCTCTAGAAAGCAAATACATTCAAAAGGGAGCTGTCCCGTCGCAGTGTGGATACTCGAAAACGCAGACTTTCTAAAACGATGACGCATTTTAGTCATGTGATGCAGTCACGTGACCAATTAAACAAAGATAGCGGAGGGCATTATACAGCAGTTGTTTTGATTGCTCTCAATTTTGGCAGCCCTAAAAAAGATTAATATCAGTTTGTACATGCTCCAGAGAGCTTTTCTTCAAATTCTTTAATTCTCACTCGCTTTTGCGCATGCGCAGGACTGGAACGTAAGCGTTTTCGGCCGTTTCAATGTGGACGCACAACTCTGTGAAAACGACTGAAAACGCTAGTGTGGATGCCGAGCGTTTTCAGACGAAAACCGCGTTTTCAAATCTATCTGGGCTAGTGTGGACGTAGCCTAAACTTGGATTGTAGCTGGCAGACAGTTGCACGGCGTACACTAAACGTTGCAGTATATGCTGTGCAATGCTCAGTAGGGCTGGGCCATATCATACCTTTCATTGTAACACCGGTGTAATGTTGGGCAACGATAGGAAAATGAAATCTCGCGATAGAATATGGGTAAAACGCGCATGCGCAGTGCCTTTGTTTACATACGCACATGGCGGAAAAAGCATGGCGGCGACGCAGAATGAGAAGAGCGAAAGCGGATCGTTGAATGAAACAGATGAACCTGAACTGGTTTGTAAAAATGCTGCAGCTTCACTGGTGTGGAACTGGTTTAGCTTCGTCCGTCAGATACACAACAAAGCGCTATTTTTGGTAGCGCATGCTAGCGGGCCGTCGTTATTACTGTGTTTTTTTTTGGAAAATACGGCGCACTTAAAATCAATCCTTTGATTTCTCTGAAAGTCGACAGAGCCCCTTATAATCCCGTGTGCCTTATGTATGAACTCTGGTTGTGTTTACTGACCTCGAAACGATTTTATGTGCACGGCGCTCGAAAATCTGTCAAATGTTTCAGTACGACTTTGCTGAGCTACGAAGCCGCACCACTTGATGGATTGTCGGAGCGTTACGGCTGTCGTAGGCGGAGCCTCGCGGAGTGATACGTGCTGTGCTTCAACATAATATTACCGTACTGTGTGTGTATAACCTCTTTTTAAGTTTTGTGGATATTATACATGGTTATGCTGAGGATATGTCGGCCAGTTTCCACTGGAAATGCCTTTTGGTTAAACTGTCAGCGAGGAATTTGCACTGTTACATTTTTATATAACTTTAATGCACATAAAAAACAGCTGCTTGTTTAAGTGAAAATACATTGATGGGTTTTTTTGCACTAATAAAGTTGAGGAGTTGTAAAGCATTTTGTCTAGTGTCAGTTATATCGTTATCGCAAATTTTCAAATGTATATCGTGATAAATATTTTTGGTCATATCGCCCTGCTCTAATGCTCAGTACTCTACACTGGCTAGATATCGAGCCAGCTGGCCACATGGCTGTGTAACTCATAAACACCCACTCCAAAAACACATGGCACAACACAGAAGAGCCACCTCGACCGGACGAGACTCAGCTGTACATCTGCATCTAAAGGTCAAAGGTCACTCTGTTGAGGATGCTAGCGTTCACATTTTGGACAGAGAGGACAGATGGTTTGAAAGAGAACTGTAAGAAGCCATCCATGTGCAGTGTGAAGGACCATCCTTGAACAGAGGCAATGGTTTACGACACCTTTTTCTTCCAACCTCCTAAGATTACAGTTAGCTGTCAGTTATTGTTGGCACCTGTGTGACAGTCTGAGTGGTCGCGGGGAAACCGGCGACCAGGCTGACCGCTGCAGCTCCGTCTGTCTGACCCTCCAACTGGCCATCTGCCACCTGGATCACTCTGTAGGTCACCTGCAACACAACACATTACACTGAGTGCTTGATGTCTCATTACCTCTGAGGTGACAGGTAAACCTCAGGAGAACACTCCAATCTACCTGAACTTCTAAGCTGGAACCTGTGCATTTGTGCTTAGGTGAACTACATTCAAATTAGAAGTGTCAGAAAACAAACAAGCAAACAGTGACAGAATGAAAGCAAGTCCTTCCTCTCAGCACTCCGTCCTACCTGTCCACCCGCTCCTTCTGTCTTGAACAGATATTTGATGGGTTGGTCAGTAAAGGTGGCAGCAGACTGAATGGTAGCAATAGCTGCTGGATCCTCAGCGGTAGCTACGGACCCTGAAGAAGCAAACGTATAAAATGTAAGACAGCCCTAGAACCATCAGAAATAAGTCTGAGGACACAGCAGCAGTTTAAAAAGACTGAAACTGTGTTACTTATGATTTGGCTGTCCCACACAACCAGATATGCTCTGGAAGATTACAAAACTGCAAAGACTTAAAGGAAATGTTATAGTAACAACACAATCATGTCGCTCCAGGTCAGCTGAAGTCACTCCTTTATTAATCCATTATTAATGTCATCCCTCTTTGTCTTTCAGTGTATCCTGGAATCACCCTTATTTAAGATAAACTACACAGCTACAATCACATGGAATTCAGGTTAACCAGCAAGGTAAATATTAAGCTTCTCCAGAAATCTGTGTGTAAAAAAGGAAACTCACTTCCTTCACCTCCTCCAACCTAAAAGCTCCTTGTATCCATAGCCATGTGCCAGCAGTGAAAATACGTGTGTGCCTGCCTGTTTGATCGGCTCTTAATGAATAATGAAGCAGTTTCACTTAATAACTGCTGGTGAGGACGAGATATCTAGCCAGCTGGCCACATAGCTGTGTAACTCATCATAACTGTCAAAATGAAAGCTCGGTCTGCTTTCAGTTGGGAGATACTGACTGTATCTTTGTCAGCAGCAGGACAAAGGAGACTCCAAGTCCCATCAACTCAACTGTACTCTCAGGCAGAACCGCCCGAGTCTGCATCGGACTGTTTAAAGTACATAGAAGTACCACGGCAGTCCCTTAGTACAGTGTTAATAGGAAACTTTAAAGGCAGTGACACACACACACACACACACAGCTTTTTTTTCTTTACCTTCCTCGTTGACGGTAACAGTGCCGTCTTGTTCAGGGCTTTTCTGCTGACTTCGCACGTTGGAAACAAAGGATACATAAATTAGCTCATTCCCCTGTTAAATACAAGTCCTTGACTTTGTCGTAACTGCAACAATGGCGCGTTTAAACGCCCCACTCACCTCTTCATTGCTCGGGAAGCTCTTGGACGAGGAGACCGCCTTCACTCGCTCCCACAGCCAGACTGAAACAAGTTCATGAGTTTGACAAAGACGTGGGACAAACTTTGCTCACGACTATAAAATATCGTGTGTCGATATGATGTCGTTTGAGCGAACACACGCTTAAAGCGGGAGATTGCAGCTAAAACGACATTAGAAAAACGTTGGCGGTAGCTAGCAGTTAATGCCGAAGCAGAAACCGTGCGAACGTCACGGTCTGTGCGCAGGAAACGAGCAGATGTCGCCTTCAAAGTTATAGCATCAACATTGGTGGCAGCAAACAAGGCAAGTCACTGAAGTGTTCAACGTCGGTGTCTGTTGTAGTCAGTGTTACCTTTAACACTATAGCACGTTATATCTAGCTTATATTTGTATTTTACTGCTATGACTGAGCGAAGTTTCGACGTGTGCGCCAAACCAGCGCTTTTAATTTGACAGTTCTGGCGGAAATCTAATGTCTCATTGCGACTCGACGAGGATCCTGTCTTTTCTGTTACATTACCGTACGGCCCCAGCGGTTTTTGCAGATGTTTAACAAAGCACTCCTCTTCCTGCTGCCTCGGTGAAAACAGTGTCTGCCCTCGCTAATAAAGACGACGTTTTTATAAAAAAACATTCTAATGTCCAAATTATGCGCTTAGTTCTAAATGATGGCCAAGATATTCCAGACTGAACAAAGATCTACTTACACAGTGGTCCCTCCTCCGATATTTGTCAACAGAGCTGTTTCAGCTTTACGCATGCGCCACAGGAGATCAAGTCGGCTGCTTCCAGATCAGTAACAGCAACAATATACAAATAACTACACTTCCGTTAAAAATGAGTCTATGTTACACAACTTCCAAATATATACTTGCGTCACTATTCAGAGTAAATTGGTACATTTGACTGCATTCATGAAAGAGGACCTCACGGAAGACCTAACGTGTACCAGCTTGACACAGGTAACCTGAAAGTGTGTGCTCTGCGGCCAGGAGGGTTCACTGTTCAGCTCGGATGTCCAGAGCGTGTGGAGGCGTCTGTGGGGTGTCCCTCGGTCACTTCAGTGTTGCCTTTATCCTTCAATGACTTCACTACATCCGCAGAGGGTCAACATTCAAAATAAACAATGACAGAAATCAACATGGGTCTCCAGTATTCTGGCGGAAATGCCGTTTTAGTTGCAATAAAAATGCATTATTATTATTATTATTCTTGTAGTTATTACTCGATCTAATACTAAGCGTGATGCATTATGAACGTGTTCAAACGAAAAAAAAATATGAGTGCTCGGGCCAGGCGAGGTAAAAGCGCTAGACAGCGCCCGTGGTTCGAACACTCTGACGAAGGCTGGAAGAGCTTTCGGTTGCTGAGAAGTAACCACTGAGCTAAACTAACGCGGAGGCAGCAGCGGGGAAAGAGCCCTTTAAAGGCGTCTGTCCTGTCGTGTCATATCTGACCGACTTACAACTTAAAACACTCATAAATATCCGATTGCCTGAAGGCCTTATGACATCCTCCACACTATGCACTTGAAAAGGCGATGATCACCTCTTTTATTGAGTGTTTTAATCAACCTTGTGTTCAATCAATCTGTTTGTGTTCCCGGTGAAAAATGTTTGTTATGCTAACTTAAGAGCTGCTAAAACAGACCGGTCAATTGTGACCGGGAACACTAGTTAAGCTTAAGGAATCACTTCCTCATCCACTGTGAGTGGAAGAAAAATAGATGGAAAACACTGGACAGCGCCCGTGGTTCGATCCCTCTGACGAGAGTAAAGCGGTTCAAAGGTGCTGAGAAGTAACCACTGAGCTAAACCAGCGCGGGTGTGCTTGCAGGTAAAGTGCCTTCTAAAGGCTTCTGCCTCCGTGGCGAAGTCGCCAGCTTACAGCGCCACGCTGCTTTCAGTGAAAGTTGTGGTGTTTAATGTCGGCGCGGAGGAACAACCAACAGAAAAGAAATCCCAACAAAACCCCAGAGATTCGAAAAAGCGCCTTTTGGAACAGAAGAAGCTGTTCTCGACACTCCACTCCATTAAAGAAGGGATCGCCAGCTACTGCCCTGCAGCTTTCAGACGCATCCCTACTCCCACACATCTGAATCACATCTTCAGCATGCCATCAAAGGCCTCGTAACCGGCTATTCATTTGATTCAGGTGTGTTGGAACAAGGATGCATCTAAACGCTGCAGGTCAGTAGGTCTCGAGGACTGGCGAAAGAAATAAAGAAAAGGAAAGAAGCACCGGACACGTCACTGTTACATCCCTAAACCTCCAAAAGCCTTTTTGTAGATGGAGCGGGTAGTGAACAGGATACTTGCTCTTTTGATGAAAAAAACCTACACAAATAAAAACGTTAAATAAAAACGTTTTCTCCCGTTGGCTTCAAATAATAATAATATTTAAAAAAACGTAACGTCCACGTCTCACAGACCTTGATACTTCACGTGGTTATTGTCATCACCTAGTGGTCAAATTATGATATTACAACATGACCTTTTTCTTTTTTTTAAAGACATCTGATCAATTTTCCACAGATTTATTTGATATGTAATAAATCTACTCATGGCAGTCATCTTAGGTCACTGCAGATGTGGTTCCTGTTTGGCTCGCGATATAAAATGTGCATTTATGCTAAAATCAAAGCACAAGCCGTGCTGCTCCTCACAGGTTTCTGATAAGTATGAGCACTGACCTTGGGTAGCGTCTTATCTCCTGCTCGAACACAGACAAACACAAGAAAGCTCACAACTCTGTTGACCACAGACATGGTAAATGGCCTGTATTTGTATAGCGCTTTACATCGCTACACTTTAGCCCTGTGAAGCTGGAGAGCAAGAGCCGGATCATTTTGACTGTGTGACAGAACCAGCAGGTCCCATCCTGCCTTCCACAGGACATACTTAAATCTACAGTCACAATCCAGTAGTTACTTATGTTTCCAGCCCCCTCCCCCAGTGTTTTGTGGAACATGCCTTTCTTTTCTAGATTTATTTTTTAAGTCAATTCAGGGTTACACAGAGAAACACTTCTGCATGGCAGTCATGCTGTAAAGGCAAAGGCTAAGAGTAATTACCTACTAACAATCAACAATCTGGCTTAGAGGAATTTACCAAGAAAAATCAAACGTCAGTTTCTGTACTACACAAAGGTAAGAATTAGACTCAGTGCTTTCATGAAAGGTTGCAAGAAGCCCAGAGAACAGTGAATATCATGACCCACAGTGAAAGCTAGAACACTGTGTAATAAAACAGAATCCCACATAGCCATATTATATTCAGTGCAGCAATTACCCTCTCGTCTTTTAACAACAGTCCATAAGAGACTTCTGGAAGTTTATTTATGATGTATTGCTGGCATCAAATTTAAAATATGCAAATTTCCTGCTATAGTATGATGTCTCAGTTTAAACATCTGGTGTATATTTTATGCTGTACTGTAAATAAAATATGGGTTTCTAAGATTTGCTGATCATTGCATTGTTTTTATTTCCATTTTGCACAGTGTCCCAATATCTTTGGAGCTCACAGAAGGACAAAAAAAAGCTTCGCCCACTCAGTGAACTCATTTTCCTTGCTATCAGATCTTTATGACGCTGAGCTTCCCTATCCTCACATCTATGTTTTCCCACAAACTCTTAACGCTGGAAAACGAAGGTGCTTTTGAATACTGTGTTGCGATGTGCAGCAGGAGCTGGTTTCAATGACGCCCAAACGTCCTATTAAAAAAAAAAGCAATAATGATACAGCGGAAGTGAGTTAATGCTTTTAATTCATAAGTCTTTAATATATCATATTATCATATATCATAGTTGGAATTCAGTTTATATGTTAACATACTGCATTATTGCATGTACTTGGGGATCAGGCAAGTAATGGACGCCTGCATAGAAATGTATTTAAGAAAGTTTCTTAAATTTCAAAATGCCTAAATGGAACAGATACATCTGTGTTAGTCAAAGCGTTCAGAGACCCTCCTTCATGCTTGCTTCATCAGGAGTCAACGACTCTCCACAGAGTGAGGAGCACCACAGGCCACAGGGAGGTTGGGCTTGCAGCACAGCACTTTGGGATTTGTTCTGTAAGGATAAGAAGAGCACAGCTTGTCTCATCCTGTTTGATGGAGCCTGACAGTGATGCGTCTGCTACACAGTTAACGCTTTGTGCTGCAGTTTGAATGAATTAACTGCACTTTTATTGAGCTCGAGTTCTTTTAACTTCTTTGATCTGTTCTCTTGACACATCAAGTTGCATGGATTCAACTGCGGCCCTCCACACCATGCATGAGTGGACAACACTCATATTCATTTCAGTGTTGTATCTGGCAAGCTTTAGGATCGAGGAAACGTGATTAGAAAAAGACATGAGCTCATTTATTTTAGATTATTTTAACCACAAATTCTGTCTCTCACCTGCAGATCTATTCTACTGTAAAGATGTATTAAAAATAAAGAAATCAGTAACATTGCAAGCACTAGTTATTCAGAATTGTTAAACCTGGCAGTTATTTTCTTTGATATCTGATTAATTATCGAGTGTGCTATTTTTCAATTCAATTTTATTTTATTTATACAGCGCCAAATTGCAACAACAGTCGCCTCAAGGAGCTTTATATTGTAAGGTCGACCCTACAATAACACATACAGAGAAAACCCAACAATCATATGACCCCCTATGACCAAGCACTTTGGTGACGGTGGGAAGGAAAAACTCCCTTTTAACAGGAAGAAACCTGGAGGGGCGGCGCCATCTGAGAAGGAAGACAGGATAAAGACATGCTGTGGAAGAGAGACAGAGATTAATAACAAGTACGATTCAGCAGAGAGGTCTATTAACACATAGTGACTGAAGAAGAAACACCCAGTGCATCATGGGAATCGCCCGGCAGCCTACGTCTATTGCAGCATAACTAAGGGAGGATTCAGGGTCACCTGGTCCAGCCCTAACTATATGCTTTAGCAAAAAGGAAAGTTTGAATTTTAAAAGTAGAGATAGTGTCTGTCTCCTGAATCCAAACTGGAAGCTGGTTTGCCAGGAAATTGTCAACTGTATGCTAACCATCGTCCCCTAAAGCCTAGAACATATTCAAAATGCTTTGGATGCATTAGAGCAGCGGTCCCCAACCCCCGGTACCGGTCCGTGAGTCGTTCGGTACCGGGCCGCGAGAGTTGAGGCTCAGGTGTGAAATGTCTGGTTTTCAGGGTTTTATCGGTTTTCAGCGTTACTTTGTTATCGTTTTTATGGTTTACTCGGTTTTCCTGGGTCTTTTCAGTGTGTTATGAATAAATCTTCTTTTTTCGGTGCTAGTTTTATTTTGTTGTATTTATCCGCGACACCTTAAAGGCCGGTCCGTGAAAATATTGTCGGGCATAAACCGGTCCGTGGTGCAAAAAAGGTTGGGGACCGCTGCATTAGAGCACTTTTCAAAAATTTTTACATAATAATTATTGATAAATCCATTTTAAATACTAGGACACCGGCAAGCATGAACTTACTTTGATATTTGTGTCAATTAAGCAAAATTATTACACTGACAAGCACAGTTGGGGCTCAATACTGGCACAAAATATTGATTTCATTTTCCAGTTTTAGCTATTGTAAGTTTTTACAATGGAAATAAACAAATCAACAAAAGCAAAACAAAAAACCCACAATGGATGAAAAACAATTTGTTAACACTTTGCATATGACTGGGTAGTATTAGCAATTTATAGCAACAGGAAATCAGGAAATAAATCACTTTCTCTTGTATTTTGATTACAGTGAAGATTTAAGACTGGCTGGGCCACTGACCTTTAAATGATCACCTGCTGAACTAAATCCTCGCTATGAGTCTCTGTCTCTACCCACCTGTGAAATTTGCTCATCAGTTTAAAGGTGGCTATATGCTTGTGAAATTTTGCACACATGCAATCCTAAAGTGGACAATGTCCGTCTATAAACGGGCATTCAACACTTCCCAAGGTGCTCAAAATGACCTTTGTGGTAGTTCCAACTAGGCTTTTTACAACTGCGTTGCATCTTTAAAGTAATGATTATTGATTAGTTGATCTCCTTTGCAAAAGTATTACATTTCTCTCCTAACCATGGAACCCATTCTGGGTTATCTGGTGAATAAAATGTTGGCACACCGGGACAAGAACATCTTGCTAAGAAATCTGGGGGCAGGGTTGGGCTGCTGTGTAATGAATACTTACGTTTTTCTTTTTGTGTCTTGTAGTCTATGGTGATATTCTTCGTTTCAGTCCTCTTGTTTCTTGTCAGTGTGCATGTGAAGTTTGTCACATTACCAGTCTCTTGCAACTCGCTATGACTGTGTTCTGTTAATGGGACAGTGTAATTCTTGCACATCGTGTTTTTCATTGTAGCCAGTATACCTCCATTCGATGTCTTGAATTCACAGCTGAAGGGCTTATAGGGAGGTTGTGAACAGTCTTGATAGTAGCACTGCAATCTTTGAAAAGATCAAATGGTATGGTTAATATAAGGCACACTTCATTTAATGTTAGGGTTCAGTACAGCATATGCATTCGATGTGATAGTGGCATTAACACTGAAAGCTCGAACCTGAGACTGTTATTTTCCTTTGTGTCGATGCAAGCAGTAAACACACCAAAATCCCCCACCTTTTTGGCAGAGATAGAGCCTGTAATCAGATGTTTGGATACATCATGTCATACACAGTCACAGTCAAGGCGTTCTTCAGATGTATATACAAAACTCCAGTTCTAATAGTTCCCCCAAACTAAACTTTAGAACTTCTAGTGCTGATGAACTATCATTTAGCTTACACACTTTAGTGCAGGGGTGGGGAACTCCAGGCCTCAGGGCCGGTGTCCTGCAGGTTTTAGATGTGTCCTTGATCCAACACAGCTGATGTAAATGGCCAAATGACCTCCTTAACATGTCTTGAAGTTCTCCAGAGGCCTGGTAATGAACTCATCATTTGATTCAGGTGTGTTGACCCAGGGTGAGATCTAAAACCTGCAGGACACCGGCCCTCGAGGCCTGGAGTTGCCCAGTCCTGCCTCAGTGTTCAAAAAAATCTCACTTTGATTTTTGAAAAAAAGCAGGACATTCAGCTGTTCAGGAACTTTATTTTCAATAGTTTCCATTCTTATAGAGCAGCGGTGCCCAACCCCCGGGCCTCGGACCGGTACCGGTCCGTGAGTCGTTTCGTACCTGACCGCGAGAGTTGAGGCTCAGGTGTGAAATGTCTGGTTTTCAGGGTTTTTATCGGTTTTCAGCATTATTTTGTTATCATTTTTATCGTTTACTCGGTTTTCCTGGGTCTTTTCACGTGTGTTATGAATAAATCTTCTTTTTTCGGTACTAGTTTTATTTTGTTGTATTTATCCGCGACACCTTAAAGGCCGATCCGTGAAAATATTGTCAGGCATAAATCGGTCCGTGGCGCAAAAAAGGTTGGAGACCGCTGTTATAGAGGGTTCAAGCTGCTCTTGTTCGTAGACTGAAAGTTACCAGCAAACCTGACAATCTCTTAAGTGAGAAAATGAATGAATACATCCATAATCACTACAGCTCTCACATTAACACAAATGGAAATTTGGACGTGACAATTTTGCTTTACAGGCAGAAGTAGCGTGTGTGAAGGGTCTCAGTTATCAAGGTCATGGTAGTCTAAGGAGCTTGGAAAGAAAAGCGACTGGACTTCTTTAAGTTTCCTGAAGATGTTTCGCCTCTCATTCGAAGAGGTTCTTCAGTTCTAACACTGGATGGTGGAGAGTCCCAGGTAGTTAAGCCCTAGTGGGAGTTGTGTCTCATCACATGAACCAAGGTGTGAAAAGGGATATGGGTCCTTATCAGCAGAGTTTCGGGTGAAACCATTGTGAGACCTTGCCTTAATCTATCACGGGACCTATTGAGATCACCTGATGCAAGATGTGAGTGGGCGTTGAACTGCATTGTTACGCAAACAATACGCAGTCTCGATTTCTTCTGTGGGATTTGGATGGTAGGCTCAGAGCTCAGTGTAAACCACATATATCATGTATCATTACATTAACAGTTCAGGCTGGTGTTCATGGTGTAATTGTGTAGGGATGGGTTAATCTTTGCACACACTTTGGGTCCCTTGGTACCAACTGAGAATCATTTAAACTCCACAGTCTACAGTGCACCCAGAAAGTATTCACAGCACTTCATTTGCTCCACATTTTGTCACGTTACAGCTTTATTCCAAAAACTGTTCAGTCGGAAGATCAAACTTTGAGCCTGAGGTCCAGAGCGTTCTGGAGCAGGTTATCATCAAGGATGTCTCCGTCCATTGCTGTGTACGTCTTTCCCTCCAGCCTCTCCCAGTTTCTGCTTCCAAAAAAAAGAGATAGACGTCCTTCGGGAATGTTCACCTCTCTTGTCAGAGTAACAATGGAGCTCTGTGAGAGTGACCATTAGATTCGTGGTCACCTCCCTGGGTAAGACCCTTCTACCCTGGTCCCTCCTGCTAGCCATGCAGCCAGCTCTAGTGAGTCCTGGTGGTTCCAAATTGTTCTCACTGAAACCTTCAAGGCTATAGACATTGTTCTGTAACCTTCCTTAGACCTGTGCCTCGTTACAATCTGATGTCTGTAGATAATCCTCAGTCATCCAGGTAAGTAAAAACAGTTGATTCTGTTCATCTGGACGTTTTCAGTGGAAGAAACGTTTCGTCGCTCATCCAAGTGACTTCTTCAGTCCAAACTGACTGCAGGTTTCTATTCTATTCTAACATTCTTGACAAATATCTGTTGTAATCTTTCTCTTCTTTATATCCAATAATGATTTGCCTACATTAATGTATTGCCATGTCCACGTGGGCCTGAAAGCCACTGTACTGTCTGACTGAATTCTTTAAATGCTTTAAAACTTTAAATGCTCCAGCTTCATTATCACCAACCCACCCAAAACTACTTTTTTATCCTTTCCTCTTTCCCAACAATTTTCTAACATTTTTCTAATACGATTACTTTTATTATGACCTTTCAAATTTATACAATAATTAACCTTTAACACTTGCCTTGTAACATTTCTCCGGATTGTACTTGTAAAGCACATATTGGTGTTGTCTTCATCGTCCCTAAACAAATGATCAGTGCACCGATCATAAAATACCTTCCCTCCAATCCACACCTCCATTCCTACATACTCCAAATCCCCTTTCTCTTATTTTATATGGAATACTACACTCAATGAAACACACCCGCTGTCACGGTTCTGGGTCAGTTTCGAACCAGTATTTTGAGTTTTGATTGTTAGTTTATTTTTTGAATGATTGTTGTGGTTTTGGGTGTGATGATTATTATTATTGTTAGAGTTCCATGTTTCTGTTTATTTGGGGTTAAGATTTGTGCTCTCATGTTTTGTGTGGGTTTAGTTTCATGTGTCATTTTCTGTCTGTCTCTCTCTGTCGAGTCTGCGTCTTAGTGTGATGGTTTCTTGTTCCTGTTTTATTGTGAAGGTCTACGTCTCATGTGAGTGTGTTCAGTTTTACCTCTGTCTCATCTTGTTGATTATTCCCAGCTGTGTCCACCACCTGTGTGTAATTCCCCTGTGTTTCTCTGTGTGTATTTTAAGTCGTGTCCTCTGTCATTGTAGTTGCTGGTCCGTCTGCGTATCCACCATGTTTCATCCGTGTGTTCCCTGCCGTCATCCTCATGTACCATCGTCTTCCTTCCTTTATGTTCAGGTTCGTGTTCGTGCTCAGTAGTCTAGTTGTCCCAGTATAGTTTAGTTCTCCGTTTTGCCGTTTGCCTCTCTTTTTGTGTTCAATAAATCACCTTTACACCTTCACGACTGCCTGCGTTTGGATCCTCCTTTTCCTTTTCTACACGGCTCTTTTCACTCGCCGTGACACCCGCCTCCATTCCCTTCTTTCCTATCGCATCTAACTGCAATATATCCAAATAAAGTCCAAAAAAGTCTTCAACCATGTTTCCTGTGTACAAATTATGCCATGTTTTTCTGTCTGATTGTATATAAACTGTTTATAATCTTGACCGTTTGACAAAAGACGACTTGCATTCCACTGTAGGATTAATATGTTTATAAACTGAACCATCACATTCCCCTTCTTGACTTGCCCAACTACAGTTTAGATATGAAGAATATCAGGTGAACTATGACATGCCGCCTTCACAATAATCTGAATCGTCTTCGCCTTGGACTCATGTTGCATTTATTACAATAAATGTCACCATCTTCTTCTTGTCTACCTCCATTTTTCTTTCAACCGTGTCCACAGCCTTTTTCATTACTCGTTTCTTCCCTATCATGGGTTTTTCACTCGGTCTCTCTTGCTCAACAACACGCCTCTGCACCTGTCACTTCCTGCAGGATCCTCGTTTGTTGAGCAACTGTCTGCTGCCTCGGCACTTCACATCCCCAAAAAGCAACACTGTTCTCCTCCGCAACTACAACATTTTGGTTTTACTCCAACTCCACATTTTCCTTGCTGATGATCTCCAGAACATCGGACACATCTCCTCTTTCCTTTACATATCTTAGCAATATGTCCAAATTGCTGCTAACACCTCATTGGTTTGGGTACAAACTCCATCACACTGAAACGCATCAATCCAATGAAGATCACCTGTGGTACCTCTTCTGTTTCAAATTCCACCTCCACAGGTTCTGTTTCTCCTCTCTGTGGACCTCTTGTCATTAGTCTTACTCCTTTAACTTCCCTGTTTCTGAGTTATAAATTCTCACCCATTTCTTTCATATTTACATTTAACAGCACTACTACAATGGCTCCTTTATTTCCATTATTTCTCTTTCTACTACTCTTACAGTTGTTTTAACACAAACCCGCACAGGTTTCTTCACTTTTACCACCTCAGCTTCTGTGTTACAACCAATCAGCAGATTCCAATCTTCAAGAATCTGTCATGGTCCTGCGACCATGACTCAGTGACTTTATGTTTATGCACTTATTGTTATTACTTTCATTATTATTCATGGCTGTTTTGGGATGGTTTGTGTTTGGGATTTTAGATACTGGGTTTTGGGTTTGTGCTCCCTCTATTGGTCCCTGGTGTTAGTGTTCCCCTGTCTCGTCAGGTTAATCAGGTCCAGCTGTGTCTCCCACCTGTGTGTGATTTTCCCAGTGTCTCTCTGTGTATTTATAGTGTGTGTTTGCCTCTGCTCCTCGTCGCGTCGTCTGTGTACATACCCTGTGTTCATACCTGATGTAATCCTCTGCGTGCTCTCCCTGCTGTTCTCCCTTCATGTTCAGGTTTGCCACTCCTCTGTGTAGTTTATCCCAGTTTAGTTCGTCCTTGGTTCTGTTTGCCATCTCCACTTTGTGTTTGATATTATCAATAAATCACCCTCACACCTGAATAAGTGCTGCGTTTTGGGTCCTCCTTCCACTCTCCACACGGCCGCTGCCCCGGACCGTGACAGAATCTTAGCATTTTTGATTTGTCCAACTTGTGCTGTAAGTGTTTTTCTCAGCTTAAGAGGATTGATTTTCTTTACGCCCTCTTCTTCAAAGCTTGCACTGACATTTACAGATTTGTCTTCTGACTAGGGCTGGGCCATATCATACCATTCATGGTAGTACTGGTATAATTTTGGGCAACAATAGAAAAATGAAATATCGTGATAGAATACTAGTAAAACGCGCATGTGCAGTGCCTT